AATTGGTTTTCATAACCCGGCCGGGTCAAAATTTGAAAACTTCTAAAAAAAATTTTTATATGTTTTAATAACCGGGTGGGTTTTGAAAAAAAATTTTTATAAAATTTTATATATGAAATTTTAAAAAAAAAAACTGGCTGGCCGGGTCTATTTTTAAATTTTCATGTTATGAAAACCAAGTAATTAAATTTGTTTGGCTTTATATATATTATTTTTATTTTATTATTTATAGAAAATAACTACATTTCACCGGAGGTAAATTCACCGGTAATCACGTGATACTTGTTAATGTAAAATCACTAATCTATCAGCTATTACCTGTATTATGTGATATAGTTTACGCGTCTAAATAGTTCTGCAGTTGATCAATATTCTTATAGTCGTGATCTTACTCTTTTATCTTTTTATGATATCTTTCTTTATTACGAAGTTAATTAAACATACAGATAATAAATCCAATGAAATACATAGAAGCAACAAGCATAACAACCGAAAGAACTCATATAATAAGTGACAAAATTACTGAGGAGAGTACTTACATAGTTATAAATGACGAAGCCACTGACAATTCAAAAAGCGAAGTTAACTTGGAAAGACAGTTGAGATCCAAAAGAACTTATATAACAATAAGTAACGAAACCACTAACAATTCAAGTTGTAAAGTCAACTTGGAAGGACAGCTATTGGAATTCGAAAGTGCTTACATAATAATAAATGATGAAGCCACTGATGAACCAAAAAGTGAAATTAACTTGGAAGAACAGTTGTTAGATCAAGATCAAGATCATAACAATATTTTAGTGTTTGATACAGACTCTTCTGACGAAGAATCTGATAGCACTTTTTCTGCTCTAACTTTGTTTTTGGGTCAGACGTTTCTTACCTGGGATGACGCTCAAAAATTTTTAGATAGCTATGGGTTGGAGAAAGGTTTTAGCATACGAAGAAAATGAACTGAGTTTGATAGTAACAAAGTTTTAATTAGAGTTGGCTGGGAGTGTAGTTGCGCAGGTAAGTATAAAGCAAAAAAAGTCTTGAATCCAGACAATCAAAGAAATCGAACATCAAGTGCAACAGATTGTAAGTGGAGGGTTAATGGAAACCTTTCAAAAGACACATCAATAATTTCTTTTACAACTGTTGTGGATGAGCATAATCATTTGATGACACCTTCACCCCAAACTAATATCGCTAAGTATCGTAAATTTGGTGATGATATGGTCGAATTTGTTGAATTTTGCATATATCATGGTGTAACAGGTGCACAAAGTATTGGGCGGCTCTTGAAAGGAAAATTTCCTGGGAGAAAGATTTATCAGAAGAGCCTTTACAATGTAATTCAAATAGCTAAAAAAAAATTAACATCAAGGGTTGAATATGATGCATCAGATCTTATGAGGCACCTGTACTCGCAACGCGCAGAAGATTCACGTTGGTTTATAGAAGCAAAATTTGATGGAGTTGAGCGTCGATTATGTGGGTTAGTATAGATGTCACCCGAACAACAATTTTTGTGGACATGTTATCACGATATTGTTTTTTTTGACACTACATCCCATACCAACAAGTATAATATGATGGCCTGTTTCTTTGCTATAATTGACAATTGTAATAGAACACGACTTGTTGCAAGTGCTTTACTTAAAGATGAAACAAAGAATAGTTTTATCTGGGCACTGAAAATGATTAACAAATGTACAGAGAATTTAACACCAACCGTTGTGTTTACTGATTCTGATCCAGGAATGGCTAATGCAATAAGCCTGGAATTTCTGAATTCTATTCATTGTTTATATATATTCCACATTGATCTCAATATAAAAAAAAATCTTCGGAATAAGCTAGGTTCAATAGAATTTAAGGAGTTTCATGAAGCATTTTTTAGATGTAGAAATACATTAGTTCCAAGTGTTTTTGAAAGTCGTTGGGAAAGCTTAAAAGAGAAGTACAAATCAGCAAACAGTTATATAAAGCGACAACTGGATCCGTTTAAGCACAAATGGGCTGTGTGTTATACAAATAATCAATTTACAGCTGGCGCAAACAGTACTCAGAGAGTTGAGAGCTTAAATCATAAAATTCATAGCTGTATTAAATCAAATTCGTCGCTTTTAATGTTAGTAAAAGAAATTTAATTATTACTTGATAAGGAGTCAGAGTATGCAAGAGTAGAGGAGTATAAGGAACAAATTCCTACTACAGGTCTCTCAACAATTACAAAAACTTATTTTAATTCCATTGAAGGGGTTATTTCAAAGTATATTATGCCGTCGATGGTATTTGTTGCTTGTAATCAGATGCAAGAATGTTTTTATTACGACTGTTTCAAAATAGATATCACGACTATAAATCAGGTTAAGTATTAATTTCTTATTGGGGTTTTCACCTATGCAGGGTTAAAATATTTTATCTTTTCCAATAGGATCAAAGTAATATTGATTATGATGAGGGTCTACGGGAAGACAACTATGAAGTTGCAAAAATACATCTTATCGAAATTATATCAACAATCGGTCAAAATCAAATTCTAGAAATATGGAGAGTTGTAATATCCTGCGGTATCAAAATGAATTATGTTGTGTTATTAGCAGATGGGTCCCACCGATGTACATGTAACCTTATTATAACTCATGGATATTCGTGTCGACACTTCTATAAGATTTTACATAGCTCTGCTCAGGCCAAATGGCATATAGGACTTATTGCAACGCGTTGGTATAAAGATGAGTTCTTTAGAGACAGTAGTGACATTTGGCAACAGTCTTTTATTACTTTATGCAAAGATTCAGACCATAATCAAAGTGACTATGAACGTTCAATATACAAATTTGATTATATCAAACAAATAAGAGGTGCTGAAGTTTATGGCCCGGTATTACGAGAGGTCAATAATACACGACAAAAATATGGTAGAGCACATGGAATAATGCGAAAAGCTCTTGATCTCGCAATTTCTACCAATACATATGATGAGTTAATGGGTATCTGTCATGGATTTATACTTGACAAACAAAGAAATCAAGAATCGGATGAAAAAATGGAAGATATTGAAAATAACATTATGAATCCTGTAATTACTATGCGAAGAGGGAGACCACCAGGAAGAGCAAAAAGTGATGTGGAAGTGCAAGATCAACGTACTACAAAAAGACAACGTTTACAACCAATAGAAGTTAATCAATCCAATGATGAAACTAAGGATAAAAGAAAGACATGCCAAAATTGTGGAAATAGGGGCCATAATAGAGCAACATGCAGAATCAATAAGGAATAATTAGGATTTAGAAGTAGATTATTAGTCATTATAATCATGTATTGTACATCTTAGCTGCATTCTCAATTGAAAAAATGCTGTTTGCCTTAGTGTTGTTACTGTGAAATTTTCAACAATCAATTTCGTACAGACTATATTCTTAGGATTGTACGAATTTGGTACCAAAGTCTGTATATATGTACACATATCTGTACGTACATATATATGTATGCGCTTAATTGCTTAATTGTTTACTTTTTGTAGAAACTTGTCATCAGAATTCGGAATTCATGGGTCTGGTAAGTATTATCATTATCATTGTATCATTGTTTTAAGTGATATTAATGGTATTGGTATAATGACTAAACAGATTAGTGTGAAATTCATAACAGATAATATTTTCAAAGATATATGGATCGCTACTAATAAAAAGAATTTTGCAAATTAGTATGGTATGGGTGAGCAGACCAGTATAGTACAGGCCGATTTTTGAAATCTGTACTATACTGATCCAGTACATAGTATATAGTGTTAGGAATTATAGATGATGAGTATGGTCTGCTCATCTATACCATACTGGTTTGTTATAATCTCATATTTATTGACTACTTAAAGGAATACGGATGTAATAACAATTGTAATGAATGATAATAAAGAATGAATTGAACTTTTAAAAGTTCAGGTTAACTGTATTTTTATTTGAATTGATCTTGTGGCATTAAATTCATAGGTATACGTATTAATTTTTGTTAGATTACTTAATGTGTCTAGCAAAGCGTGTTTGAAATCACAGTATATAAATTTAGTATTGTCGTTCTAACAAATTTTGCATATTATAGAATTAGATTAGAGTTAGGGTTTTGCCACCAATACAAGACTAGCAACACCAGTCAAAAAAATTTCGCAGATCATATGATCTTATAAAATATAAAATATCTATCGCCAGATTAAATTAAAGTCCTTGTTTAGGTTTAGGGTTAGGGTCAGGGTAAACAAATATTTTTTTTCTTTAGCTTTAGTAAAGAAAATACTGCAGTGAAGGCGGCAGCCGTAGCGAAAGCATCAACTATCCTTTGCGAAGCAAAGGATAACAGAAAGTTCATTCTCGAATAGAAGTTTTTTTTTATTAAACTTTTAAGCTGCGCATATGAATATAATATTATGATCTTCATTTCACGTAATCTGCAAAATAATATAGGTATTATGGGTTTATGTCTATGTTACACAAAATTGGCAATCATCTATTAGCTACATATGTGACGTCACGTGATTGCCGGTAATTTCACCTCCGGTGAAAATTAGCATTACTCTTCGAAATAATGTGAAAAAAATGAAAAAATAAAGGTAAAGAGAAAATGATTTAAAAGTAATGAAATTAAAGCAGAGCGAAACAAATAAATGTAAAAGAGTTTAAGCAAAAAATTGAATTATTAAAGTATTGAAATGAAATTGGTCAAAAAAAAAATGAGAATCTTAAGAGTGAAAGTCAGTTTATTTAAATATTTTTTAATTAATTCTAACGAAATCAAATTAATTCAATTTATTTTAAAATTAATTAAAGATCATTTAATAAAGTTCGCATTATCTAAAGTAATCAATTTTTTATACATCCATTTGCAATTTAATTTAAAAATATTGACTTTGTAACAAATTTGAAATTTTTTTCTTTATTTAATTATATCAAAATTAATATATTAAATACATTTGACATATATGCCGACATACTTGATTGATAAATTTAATAACTCCCGAAAGTATTTAATTAAATTAGTATAAGTTAGAACAATGTGAATTAATCTGATTACCTTAAATATATTAGTCCCTATCAAACTATTACCCTTTTAAACTATCATTACTATATTTATA